CGAAGTTCCTAAGGATGCGATCGAAATATTTACGTACTACGACATTTGCTAAACAACTTGAGAAACAGTGAATATGATCCTTAATACTGAAACATACAGTAGTAGAAAGATACAAATATATATAGAAAGAAGTAGAAACCATTCTGGGAATAGTTGCTATAACTATAGAGTTGAGGAAGTTGTAACCACGCAGAACAGGCTTGCTTTATCCATCTACGGGGACAGTGTTTCGGCTGTCATCTGCTAGATTCTTTCATACCTCGAGTTTATTAGAGAGTATTAAGTTGTTCATGCGGTGCTCTTTTAATTAGTTGTGGGTTGTTAGCATGTATTACGCAAAAAATTAAGTACACATGTCCTCAATTTTAGCGACAGCAGAAAATATGGGAGAAGTGAAGATGAAGAAAGCGACGCCTTAACTTTTCTGTATAATCGTGTGTTAATGTATACCAATCCCTTACTGAATTCTATCCAGCAAGGTGATCTGGTGCGTTGCCGGTACTAGTGTTCTTGTGAGGTTGTAGTCGTTCCACCTCAAGAATGAGTGTAATAGTGTTCGAGTGTAAATTGAGCGTTTTGAAATTTGCCTTCGAACATTCGAAATGTGATTTAGATGACTCCTTTACTTGCAAGCTTTTCCTACACATCCTCTAGAGATCTTATAACTTCTTCTATTTTATTGTGTTCCACCATGTCTCTCTTACACTGATTCTGTACTTTTCTCAGCACTATTTACCCCTGCTATATAATGTATTATTATAATATTCTTCCAAATTTCAAGAACCGTGTGCATATCCGTTTTTATTTCTGTCAAGAAACGCCACGTGATGTAGCGTCGCCTTATATTTCGACCTTGCGATCTTCTCCGCTCCATACGAGCATCGGTAGAGTTACGCCATTTGTTTGTCTTCTGATCACATGGTTTGCGTCACTTTATTCATTCTTCGCATGAGTAGATATCTAGTTGTGAACTCTTCACTAATACATCCACTATTTCTATGATGGCTTCCTATCTCTCTACAATACGGTGTGTATTTAGCCCAGCAAGCTCTATGTTATAACCGCACCTCCTTAATTTGGTTTCACCTGCCGGTTGACTATGCAACTGTACACATTGTAGATATACTTGTTAATCCTGTTACTTTCATCACTCTTGTGCTAATGTAATGCATATAAACGGTTTAATTTTCCATGTCCTTGGTCTTCTCCATCGCAACAACTGAAATGCAGCATACCTAATTCGTGCATTCTACTTCGAACTACTGAATTATTCGGTTCTAACAGCACACTCGAAGTGCTGTATTCCACGGAGCTGACTTTTACATGTATATATATATATATATATTTGTATACATATATAAGCGCGCCAGACTGGAGACTACTTGCCGAACTTTCGAAGTTCTAAAAATGGATAGGAATGTAGAATGTTCCACTATTCCACGTAATATGCTCCCTATCTTGTTGTGATTTTCTGATCCAAGCAATAGTCATTGCTCACAGTGGCCGAAGAACATATGAATGACCTCAGTACATCTAAGGAACTGAATAGTGGACTTCCCTTATCGGGTTGGTTGCTTGATTGCTTTTTGAAGTAGATTTCCATTGATGTAAGGAAATGTCTTAAAGGAAATTCGCGCCCTCTCAGCCAAACACTTTCATAATCTTTGCTGATAAAATTTAATGTATAAACAGAGTTAAACAAACACATCCATGCAACATCCTTATAGCATGATGTACAGCTTTTAATTCTGATAGAATTTAATTGATGTGATTGATCCTCAGAGTCTCAAGAAGAGCACTGGTTGGACTTGGTGCAGTGGAAAATGTTCGTGCTACCATAACATGGTAATATATTTGGTGATTCGGAGTTATACAAGAAGAACTAAGCACCCTATTTTTCAGAAGCTGCGATGTTAGTTCCAGAGTTGTCCGGAGAAAGTTCTGTCCAAATCATAAAGTTCTGCATCTCCAAGTCGTGAAGATCCGGAAACGCCTAAGTGGGATTTTTTCGAATCCCAGAGGTGTTCGACTCATTCAAGGACATTAATGAAGAAGAGAGAAGCCTCATGAGCAGTGAGCAACATACACTTAACTCCGAAAGCCTTCAAAGATGGTGGGTATGAGCAAACGAATTCTTTTTAATCTGAAAAATAGCACAATGTATGGTATCGGATCGTACAAGTGAATAAAGGATAAAGAATACGGCTCTCGGTATTGATCAATACCTGAGGGATGAGCCATGTATTCGACCTCAATAAGCATCGTTGGAGGTGAGTGAATACATATCTGACCTTTACGATGGGCTCGCGGTGGCCTACAAATGTATCGAGCCAATGCTGCTATTGTCTAGGGCAAACAATTTGCTGACCAAGGATGGATAGAAGGCTTGGTGAGCCACGCACGTCTGGATCGATCCTATGTGTGTGTGTGTGTGTGTCACGGGACCCTTCGAACCACTGCGCTACATGCGCTCTGACGTTGGAGAATAGTGAAACTCGTGTTGTTTTGACCACCAACTGTAACTAAACAGATGTTTAACGTTTTGTTTTCTGCCTTCTATAATTTTCATGGCAGGTTACTAAGCGAAATACAACCACAACGTTGCTGAGATTTGGAGAAGACCAAGGACATGGAGAATTAAACCGTTTATATGCATTACATTAGCACAAGAGTGATGAAAGTAACAGGATTAACAAGTATATCTACAATGTGTACAGTTGCATAGTCAACCGGCAGGTGAAACCAAATTAAGGAGGTGCGGTTATAACATAGAGCTTGCTGGGCTAAATACACACCGTATTGTAGAGAGATAGGAAGCCATCATAGAAATAGTGGATGTATTAGTGAAGAGTTCACAACTAGATATCTACTCATGCGAAGAATGAATAAAGTGACGCAAACCATGTGATCAGAAGACAAACAAATGGCGTAACTCTACCGATGCTCGTATGGAGCGGAGAAGATCGCAAGGTCGAAATATAAGGCGACGCTACATAACGTGGCGTTTCTTGACAGAAATAAAAACGGATATGCACACGGTTCTTGAAATTTGGAAGAATATTATAATAATACATTATATAGCAGGGGTAAATAGTGCTGAGAAAAGTACAGAATCAGTGTAAGACAGACATGGTGGAACACAATAAAATAGAAGAAGTTATAAGATCTCTAGAGGATGTGTAGGAAAAGCTTGCAGGCAAAGGAGTCATCTAAATCACATTTCTTAAGTGAGTTCGAGGCTGCCTGTTGATCGGGGAATACCTCGTAAGCCGATCAGCTCCAGTGTTTCTGGAGACAGAGTTCTCTTAGCAATTTTAAATTCTCAGTTTTCATAGCTCCTCAGTGGAAATATGGAATCAGCCATTCGTTTTCTTCGTCGATGCTATCAATGGAGGCATCTCCCCAAGAGCTGACTAGTCAGCTGAACAAACCCCAGTTCATAGTAACTTCTGGGCTTGGTTTTCTGAATTTATGGAACTTTTTTGCTATACGCGAGAAATGTGATTTTGTAACACGGAGTGAAAGGTCTGATACCGTGCAAAATTCTGGAGCGGCAACGACATCGGTTAGGCAAGACCTTCGGTTTAATACGACAGAACAGCTGAATAACCTTCTACTAGTCCTCAGAGACACGCTTGCTCGGCCAATCACAGGTTGCCTCTTGAATGCAAGGTGGAATACTCGGTGGAAGACCAACAAGTCCATGCTATTTTTCAGCAATGGCTATCTACACGATGTCGGCAGCAATCGCCCAATCTGTTTGCTATCTGTCGTCTACAAATATCTTCGTCTTCACTCGAATCTTCCTAAGCAGGAATAACAGAAAACCAGACGAAGTACTGCCATTCGAACAAGGATGATTTCGAAAAGGATTCAGTACGCCGGGCCAAAACTACACGATAAAAAGGCTCACCGAAGTACCGCGAGAGTACAGAAGACCGTTCTGTCTCACTTTCAACGTTTTAAAGAAGGTAATCAGCTCAAATGAGATAGAAGTCACGGAAGCCTTGAACAATTATAGAGCTGATACTCAGCAAATAAAGGTTGTTCGTGAATTGTATAAAAATTTCGCAACCAAAATAACCCCATTCTGCAACGATATTAACAAAGACGTAAAAAGCGAGGCTAGGCAAGGCGAAACCATCCCGTTATAAACTGCTTACCACCATCCACTAAAACGTCATACGAACACTGATGTGGGATAATATAGGAGTGAAAATCGATGGCCGACATTTACACCATCTTCGCTTTGCTGATAACATCGTTCTTATAACATCCGCCATTAGCCAAGCAGAACGAATGCTTGTCGACTTTGATAAAGCTAGCAGAAAAATTGGTTTTCGAACAAATCTTCTAAAACTATTTTTACGAATAACAAATTACTTACATCCCCACCTTCACTCCTAACTGAACGATATCTCCGAATGCTACAGTTACGTCTATCTAAGTCAGGAAACCGAGACGGTGAATGAACTAGCGCTCCGGAGTTTCCCGAGACGTATTTCTATGTAAGGACAATAAATTGTACGTAAATAGTGTATAGTGCAAGGTTTCACAGCGTAAGACGACGGATGGAGTGTGTGTGATCATGAGTTTGCCACGCGATTCTTCTTGACTTCTAGCAGTTTACCAAACCTCAAACTTCAGTTGTTAAGCCGTTTATGCAAATGACATTTACAAGACAATGTAATGAGATTCGGAGTGTGTGTACAATGAATTACAAGTAAAGTAGTTCAGTGGGTGGTAATGTATAATATAACTAAATAAACTGCACTAACAATGGTGTAGAGCTCTAGGCAGCCGATTTATGAGAGTGTGAGATATGGGTAGGAGGTACTGTTCATGTAACAGTATTAGTTATTACAACTACAACAACTTAAGAGAATTTGCAATATCACAATTCCGGAATGTGATAGCTGTGGCAGGGTTGCTTTAGCAACGACGGGGAAGATTTTTCGGGGTGGAGCACTTGCGAACAGTGCGAGAATTTGATAGAATTGTTACATTGACAACAAGTAGTAGTCAATGTTGCTAACAAGTTGGAGCCTCGCTGTAGAATCTCGCTTGAGAATTTCAAGCATGCTAATTTTATTAATAAGACGCATGCTAGCACTGGCGAGTTCTGAAGAATGGTCAACTCGATAGCTTGTGTTCATTTGCTCATGAAGAGCGCGAAACCAGCTTTGTAGACGTCGTATGCGTAGTGTAACACATTCCTGTTTCTTCAGAGGAGGCAAACATTTTCTCCTCTGAACTAGCCGAACTACTTCAGCTGCTACACGCAAATCAGCAACCGACATCACTCGACGAAAACCTGGTGGTAGATCTAAGTTATGCGAAAATGAGCTAGCTGGTGTCATACACAGTGGACACTTTTCGGTGCGTTTTAACCATTTTGAGGTGCAAGTGAAGCAAAACGGATCAGAGCACTTACTGAGCTACGTTGGATCGGTTCTCGGCATAAGACATATGCTGCAGACATCCGAAGTTGCCTCCGCATCTCCTTCACTAGATAAACCCACCACTACATGGCAATCCATGATTCCAGCTTTTGTAGAATAAAGAGGTGAACGAGACAGTCTTGGAGTTCCTTCACCGTCACCCATCAGCTGACCGTGGATCCCGAGATTGGTCAGATTCTTGACTATACCTGGCGGTGGAACGTCGTGCTGCAAGTGGCCTTCGATTCAACTATGTACTCCCTTCCGTCGAGAAATGGCAGCCTAAGAACAAGGAGTGGGTCCCGTCACGAAATTTCGGCGGCGTAGAATTTGTCGACCATCCGTCCATTGTAAATCTCGTCGACAAATACGAGATCCCTACCTCTCGCATAGCAGTCATACGCCTTCAGCTGATTCGTCAAAAGAAGACCGCAATCATCAACTACTACTCACCGTTCGAAGCAGCTGTTAAGTACGAATTAGATGTATTCCACTATCAGCTGGATGAAGTTATCCGCAATGATAAAGCGTTTCATAAATTTGTTGTCGGAGACTTCAACGCCAGAATAGAAAAGGCCAACGGGAGCGAATACAGGATCGGAAATTTGGGATTAGGAGAAAGCAATGAGAATGGGAACCGTTTCGTATGACTCCTGCCCGCAGCACGTCTCTTACATGGAAACTCGTTTTTCCAGAGGAAAAAAAGCCGCCGATGGACATGGGAGTCTCCTAACGGCATAACACATGCGGCGATCGACCACTTTCTGACAAATAGAAGATGGTGCCTACTTGACGCAACGGTAGTCCCATCATTCTGTCCCGGATCTAATTACGGCCTTCTTCGCGCGAAGATTCGATTCAGCTGCAAGCTGGAAAAGAACTCTCTTCATCGACCATGAGAAGAAAGTCTAGCTGTATACAACGTGAACATTCTGAACGAAGTGCTATCCAAACGTGACTGGCAGATTAAAAAAACACGCGACCGACGACTACGATCTGCTTGTCGGAGAACTGAAAAGCTGTGCCGAGTTAGATTCCGTTCCTCAAGCAAGAAGATCGGATCGCAGCTCCATTACTAATAAGAAGTTTCTGGAAAAAGAAGGAAACTGCAGCTTGATCCTACTGCAGCAGGTTTAACATGGCTGGTAATAAATGCCAGCTGCAGAAGAGCTTTGCAGGATGATCTACAACGGCACAAACAGAAGAAACTACTGGAAACAGCAGACAAAAGAAGCGGTCTGAAAAAATGCCATCGGGACCTGTGTGATTATAATGCTCCACTGTCAACCCTGATGAACGAACATGGGTTCGTCAAAACTTCTCGCCATAATATAGAATTTGCAGCGGAAGCGTTTTACATCGTTTTACATCATCGCGCACGGTCATCTTGCCCAAGAAAGGAGACTGAAGGGATCTTCGTGATTATCGTCCTATAAGTTTGTTGATTGTACTCTACAAGCTCTTTACGAAGGTTATTCTCTCGCGCATATCAAGGACATTGGATGAGGCGCAACCGGTTGAGCAAGCAGGATTTCGAAAGAGATTTTGCTGCACGGACCACATGCAAACCATGTCCAGGGTCATCGATGTTTGTCGGGAATACCACTTGCATCTAACCCTAACCTTTGTCGACTATGAGAAAGCGTTTGATAGTGTCGAAACGAATGCAATCCTAACAGCGCTCGTCGACCAAGGAATGGAGCACTCCTAAATAAGAACCCTGGCCGACTGTTATCGGAACTGCACTACGAAAATACGGCTTTTCCATCGACCTCTTACCATACCCATAGAAAAAGGGGTTCGACAGGGCGACACAATATCGCCAAAGCTGTTCAGTGCAGTACTGTAGTAGATAATGAAATCACTCGATTGATGTGAGAAACGCATACGTATTGATGAAATCTATCAAACATTCGCTTCACCTACGACATCGTCATCTTCTCAAGAAGTATTAGCGAAAGAGAAATAATGATCAACGAGCTCAATGAAGCGGGGAAAAGACCGGACTGCGCATGAATCGAAAGAAGATCCAGTTCATGAAAAAGCAATGGTGCGAAGGCGAAAAAATTGAGTCGGATGGCTCTCTCATTGCAGAGGCTTCCTCGTACGTATACCTTGGACTTTCAATGAACATGGGAAACAACATGAAAGAGGAACTAGAAAAGAGAAGGAGAGCAGCTTGGGCCGCAATCTGGCCCCTCAAAGAAGCCACCGACCAACTAAAGGACCCGAAAATCAGCGCTCTTCTCTTCGATTCTATGGTCCTCCTAGCACTCTGTTATAGTGAGGAGAAAGGTGGAGAAAAGAAACGTAGGTTGATACTTGAACCACGTCAAAAATGCTTCGCACTACTCACAGACCGCTTGCGCGATGGCTTCTGAAATATAACCGGCACTCTCAATATGCAGCCGGAATACGAAGCTCTGACTTTCGAAATCTGTCACACCTTTGAGATCCAGGAGAATATACATCGAAAGCGAAGCATGGATGGACCAGTCCTATAATGAGAAGAACAGGCGACAGATGGATGAAAAGAACATCAGAGTGGACTCCAAGAGAATACAGGCGTCGCCTAGGACACGTTGGACGGACGTTTTCGTAAACAAAGTTAATCAGCTGTACCTGCAGCTGCAGTTGTTTAACAGGTCACGGTATGAGACTCGCACGCACTATCATGCACGAAGAAGACCACGACTGCGAGAGAAAGGAACGAATGGCGTATGTGCTATGGTGGTAACAGCTTGTATTTCTTCCGGGCATACATCGCTGCGCACATCGTGCAGAAGTCGGAGTTTTTACCAGTTAGCACAAAGCGTAGTAATAATATTTCGAAACCGACTTTCTCTAAGCCTCGGTGTGACTAATCAATAAGTCGGTTTCGAAATATTATTACTACGCTTTGTGCTAGCTGATAAAAACTCCGACTTCTGCACGATGTGCGCAACGATGCATGCCCGGAAGAAATACAAGCTATTACCACCGGACATTATCATTATATATCCACCATCAGCATCGTGTATAAAAGGGCATCACTGAGTGAGGATGCCTCATTCGATTCGAGAAGATGGCTCACTGAGGAAGACCTGTCTCGACACGAAGGCGAAGCTGCAACGTCGAGACGAACAACAATCATGGACCATCGACTCGGACCATCGGCTCTGAGGAAGACGAAGACGTCGAAACGTTAGCCGAAAATAAATATATTTATCAACCTCGTGCAAGCTTGTCAAGAAGGAATACACAATAATAAAATGGTTTAAAAACAGCATGTAAAAACGCTTTAGAACAAACATGAATTTAGTCTCTGAGAGGTATACAGCAATTTTTAATACACCAGCGCACGTTGGCACCGTAAGCGAAGTGAGACTTCACTAAGGACCAAGAGATCTGCAGAATGATTGGGTACTCAGCGCAATCCCAGTTGCTTACGGGGTCGGCCTCGCGCTGCCCTGGCACGCGACCTAGACAGGATATAACCAGAGGCTCTGAAGTGATTGACCTGAATGAACATGGCTGCAAGCGATTACCATCCATTTTTGCTGTTGGGAAAAGCTTACTGATAGAAATATTAATGAAGAGGTGGACTGTAAAGAGGTGAATAAGTGAATTCAAAGTTTTGCCTGCCTCTCAGCCTTATCCATCGACCAGTGCAATTAGCAATCACCCGTCAACGGGATTGGTCTCGGGAGCCCAAATCGGCACTGAATCCGTAAAGAGTGAACCGCTTTCGTTCTCCACCGGAGACACCTGCGGTCCGGAGTTGTGCAAACATCTTAGTACTATCGCAGTTCTATCACATATAGCACCCTGCCGAGGAAAATTGTAAAAGGTAGTAAATAAAAATCTAATATTCCAAATCCAAAGTGTTCCAAAACCCAAAGAATTTGTTTTGGCCCAATATTAATCGAAATGTGAAGCATTTTGAGTAAAGAGACATGCATAACACTTTTGATTAGTTCCTGTTACGTGAGATGAGATCACAAGAGTAGTGTTTAACTATGTTGACTTCACGAGGATCTTTGTTTAAGGAACACAAGTGTCTTAGGGGTTTGCATGGACACACTTAGAACAACGTCGTTCCCACCCTGCTCCACAGGTCCTTGGATGCAACAACGTTTCCGTCTGTGGAATTCGTATGTCTCCTGTAATTGTAATTCGAAACCGTAGGCGTTTTTCCACTGCTATATTTACTTACTTGGGCACTTGGACTGCTCGTCTTCACGAGTTTTGCGGAGCCTTTACAAGATCACATTTCTCGCGTATAGCAAAAAAGTTCCGTAAATTCAGAAAACCAAGCCCAGAAGTTACTATGAACTGGGGTTTGTTCAGCTGACTAGTCAGCTCTTGGGGAGATGCCTCCATTGATAGCATCGACGAAGAAAACGAATGGCTGATTCCATATTTCCACGGAGGAGCTATGAAAGCTGAGAATTTAAAATTGCTAAGAGAACTCTGTCTCCAGAAACACTGGAGCTGATCGGCTTACGAGGTATTCCCCGATCAACAGGCAACCTCGAACTCACTTAAGAGCTTGCAAAACACTAGAAGGATGAATGAAAGAAATTCTCAAGAAGAAATGAGCAGCAGTTATGGTTGAAGCTGCAGTGGCTGGGAAAAGCGTTCGCGAAGCCACCGAAGCTTGAGCAATTGCAAAGCCAAGATGATTGTACTCCGACATCCTGACGGAACAGTTTCAGTTTATCTCGATTGCAGTGGATTATTTGATCAGTGCTGAGGTTAATATAGAGTTGGTTTTTCAAACAATAGTGAAAAAATCATCGATGCATAAGCGACTAGTTTTTCAGGCTCCTGATTATTGATTTACCTTTTTTGCAGAGTTTATTTCATTGAGAAAACAACATTTAAAGAAATTTTATCAAATGGACAAAATGCGAGTGATCAACAGCGGCAACATTGTTGGTTTGACTTCGGCCTCCAGTCTTAGCAAATCTTCCATTCATTGGAAGTCTGGGAGGACAAAAATACGATAGATCGGTAGTCTTTCGTCAGTAAATTTGCATGCCAAATAAAATATTCAAACAATCGCCTTTGCGACGAGTAATTTAATAGGAAAATTTCATATAACCTAGGATTGGTGGGCATAAGTCGTTGTAGTTTACTTTTTTCTTGAAAAGATTTTCTTCAAAGATTTGCCCAAATCAAAATTTGGGTGAATTAGGTGGAATCAGGATTGGCGATATCACATTGTGCAGTCTCCGAATTCGAATCATTACAGAAACCACAAGGTACTGTTGAAATAGTGCGGTTTGCCTGTTCCCTGCAGCATAGACGACAAATATGTTGGAAAACAAGAGCAAAAGATGAAGAAGAAGCCGATAAATCAACGAAATTGATTTCACTGCCTATATAGATGAGCGACACATTCTCACTGGCAGATCGTCAGCCGCTAAATCCGAAAACCTGACAAGCTGCGCTCCGTAGATAACGGGTCAGCTAGAAATGTTTGCAATAATTTGTTGCCTCACCTATTTCTGCTGCAACACTTACTCCACTTATCAAATCTAATGAGTAACCCTTTAGGTAATTCTAACTTCCGGTCTAGCATTGTCCTCCTACCTAACTGATTCATAGCCATCTTCTTAGTTGCTTTCGGTGGTCATAACAACATAATAAGTCCCAAAATTCTTCCACGTTCACAATACCAAAGCTGCAGAGTGGAGGCAGTAAAAATTTGGCATTTACAAGCAGCAGCGACGTACTCGAGTAATATGTTTACCT